AGAAAAAAAGTTAATTATTCTCATTTTTGTATAATTTTCTATAATAAAATTATAAAAGTTATTCTCCTAAAACTCACTTGGTTGGCTTCATTCAAGTGCCCAGCCAGAAGGAATAGTATTATTGCTAAAAGCCATGTGAAATAAAATTATTCCAAAATTGAAACACATTTTACCCTTTCAAAATGAAATGAACATGAATCACCAAGGTTCAAGAAAAGGACTCCTAAAGACAGAGAGATTATATATACATAATACATTATATATATATATATATAAAATCAAAAGCTTTTGTACAACTATGTTTGGTTTCAAATCTTGATGGAAACATATCACCACTCAGGTCAAAGTAGGTATGTACTTTAAAAAAATAAAAATCATTTCATGGCTTTTCTTTAAATAATAGAAGAAATCAGAAGACTTTTTTTAAAACATAAAAATTTGTATTGTGTGGACACTATTTTCTGAAGATTCTTATGAACAAAATTTTACTGGCATAACAAGAGGGAACACAACAATCCAATTTGTATGTTATTCAAAAAATGGCTTCTTGTTCTAACATAATGTAAAGTTTAAAATATATATATATATATTATAACTTTAAAATGTCAGAAATAGGAATCGGGAGAAATAATTCTAAACAATGACATTTTTAATCAAAACTGTTCACAAGCAATATGTAAATATCACTAAATAGCAACATAAATACCATTCAAAATATATTAATTTCAACTGAAAGCCAATACAGTTGTCCTTCAGTATCCACAGAATTAGTTCGAGGATCCCTGATACCAAAATCTGGGGATGCTCAATTCCTTGTAATTTAGTATCTGCATATATCTTCTTTTATAATTTAAATAATATCTAGATTACTATTACCTAGTGACATGTAAATAGTTGTTATATTCTATTGTTTAGGGAGTAATTACAGGGAAAATAAAAATGGTACATGTTCTTTACAATTTTTTCAAACATTTTTGAATGCTATTCATGAGATCATATATATATGGAATCAAATAGTTAAAGTCAAATTTTAATGACTAACGTGGCATCCTACATGCTCCCCCCAAACTTTATTTACCTATGTCCTTAACCTGATTATTGGGAAGAAAAATAAGCCACATTCTAATTCCCACAAATCTTAAATTATATTTTGATTGTTAATTAAAGAAAATACATCACATACACACACATATACACCACTGGTAAGCAAAATCAGGATGAGGGTAATACAGAGTTAGTTTCAATATGGAAAAGTACCTTGAGTATTTTTAAACTTCAATAGTTTGTTGCATGACTATTGGAGCTAACACCCAATATGTTACTTGGTTTAGAAAAAAGAACACTAATGAAAACTGCAATTAAACTCAAACCCAACATGTCAAAAAATTTGAGAAAGGACCTTTTCATGGAGAGTGCATCTCTAATTGATAAGTAAATAGAAAAAAAATTCAATTTATACTCTCTTCCCCTATTAGAATTCACATTTCAATATGGGTACCATTTCTTCCTTTCTTATACTGTACATTGATTACTTCCACATAATAACAACTTCTTACATGTTCATATATTTTGTTTTAGCAGTATTTACCAAAATAAAAATGAAACTCAAATCACATTTTCTTGCATGTGAAACGGCCACATTTCTGTTTTTGCACTTCCATTTTGTACTTTCTATGGTTCCTTAATGCAAAACATGTAGCCATCATTACCTTAAACTTTCCTACAAATGGCTATCAGAAGCTAGACTTACTACCAAAAATCTTAGTGGTTTCCTTAATATCAAAATTATCAAAAATAAAAAGTTCTGTTAGGCATATGACAAAAACTACAGAGTCAAAAATCATCTTTAAAGTTAGCCCCTAGCCTACTAAAAGTTTCAGTACATTTTAACAAATGGTAGGAAAAAAAGAGTTGTATTTATTTTCATTGTATTTTTGAAATATTTTAACCAGTAGGAAAAAAAATCCTAAAGGAAAAATGGTTGAAAGCATATGAAAAGAAAAATATGTAAATATCGCCCCAGAATAGTAGAAATCATTCCTTTATCTTTTCCAAGAAGGTACTAGAGTTTGATATATACCTAATAATTAGCTAGGCACATAACTGATATTCAAAAATTAATTTAACAAAAATGTTTATTTCATATAACTATTTATGTTTACAAACCATTCCCTATGTACAGTACCATATATACATAAACCTCTAATAAGCAACAGTGCAATGCTTCCAAAACATCTTAAGCACCAGTATAGGATTCCTAAAACTTTGAAACCTTTTGGTATGCCACATGATTCAGATTAAGGATACAGAACATATCAAATACTCACTTCTATGTTTTCAAGTTGCCTTCTCCCACAAAAACAAAACAAAAAAAACTAACCCATAAGACGACAAAGTAAAAAGGTTATAATCAGTAAGGAGATATTTTTGAAAAACAGTTCTTGAAATACATTGCTATTTCTTTCAGATTATACTCAGATTGAGATTTACATAAAATTCTAAACATGACTATTCAGCTCATATTCATACAGCATTTCCAACCCTTATTTATAAAGATAATTTTGATCAAAAAAGCCACAAATTTACAAATTTACATTTTTATGAGAAGAAATTTTAGACCTATCTTTCTTGTGGCTGATATCTCTGATATTTAAATTAAAAATAAAGTTATTTCAATCACATTGTATTATTAACATTTCCTTCCAATGACTTAGACTAAGAAGTCTTAGTATCTGCATGTAAGTGGTTAAACTATATTAAAACACAGACATTTTAAACAAGGTAACCATGAACTTAACTTTATTCCTTAACCTGATATTATAGACTTATAAGTATTAGGGAAGAATTTCTAATTTATGCAAATACTCCTAAAGAAAACTGGTTTATTATTATTATTATTTAAAATAACGTTTTCACTACTTGCATGTAAGAATTTTGCCTTCTATATCACTTTTTGATTTGATAAGGATTGGGAAGCATGGGTGGTTGGGAGGGTTAATAAAGTACCTACTTCACCTTTTTGTTAAAAAAAATTTATTTGATTTGTGATTCTCCTAATGATTCTACTTCTACTTCACTGCCCTGGTAAAACATTTATTCTACACAGTCTTTTTTTTTTTTTTTCTAATGAATCATCAAAACACATTCTTTGGACCTCAAAACAGCTGTCTTTATGATTACAAATTTATAGAATTCCACTGTAGAAGTCATTTACCTCCCAAAGATGATTCACATTTCAATATTTAAATAACATTTCTTTCTCAAAAGATACATGATTCTGGAAAGAATACACTTAATGAATTCTGTAAAACAAACAAACAAACAAAAAACCAAACCAAAACAAAACAAAACAAAAAAAACCCCTCATGATGTTTCCAGTTTTAATTGGAGAAAGAAAAATCTTAAAACACATACATACATTTAGGAGGAAATAAGAGGAAAAGGGGATGGACTGCCAATATTCATCAGAAAATATTACCAATTGGTTCTGTAATTCAAAATTTTCTAGTTAAATTCCAAGTTTCCAAGTTTAATTTTTTTCCTATACATTTACCCGTTTGAACAACATCAACATTAAATAACTTAAACAAGATGGTGTAGAAAATCCTTTGTACAGATTCCTGGCTGAAATACCTCATCTCTAAAACTGGTATGCCGGTATAATGAAATGCCTTTTCTGTTCTGTATTTAGTGTACCATATGTTCATTACTATTTGTATATTTAAACTATTTGTATAAAGCATTAAAATAAGGCTACTGCTTAATGTACCAAAATTCATGTTCACAGGACAATTTAAGAACTGTCTCACAGAGATGACAAAAACTGTAATAATTATCATGTTTAGAAGGCATGTATTTTATTACTCTTCTATGTATATGAGACAAAAAAATGACCAGCTGATGATATTCTTTCACACATCATGTTGATGGAGTTTACTACCACAGTTTTAGTGCAACAAAATATCTTTGAAAAGCCATTCTACAGTAATTATGGCAAGGCTCATTAAAATGCAGAGGTAAAGATTTCATTTGTATAGAAACTTAGAAAATAATGTTTGAAAAGGAAAGATGTTCCATCAGGCTGAATATTTTTAGTATACTAAAAATATATATAAACATATTTTGAATTGCCTTTATAGTCAATTTTGATGTAGTATCATTTAGTGGTGATAAATTTTAAGAGGTATATGTTTAACAAACATTATACTTGAGATTATAGTCTTAGGTAAACATTTAATACACAATGCCAAGGTAGTTTCTTTTTGTTGTTTTTTTTTTAATTTTTGTACCAAAAACGTCACACATTTAACGTTGACATTTCTTCTTACCTGTGTGCCTCAGACCAATAAAGTACTCTGCATTAAAATTTAAATCTTGAGACAGTAGTACAGCATTGAAAAAAATTGTAAAGCAGCTCAGATACATTGAACCCAGATTTTACATTTTCATTTGTCAGATTAGAATATAAAAAGCTCGAAAATCAACTTGAAAAAGCTTATTCTTCCTCAAGAAAAAGTATGAACAATCTGAAAATGATCAACTAGTATGAATGAAACATTGTACATAGTTAAGTCACATTTAGTGGTCGCTAAACATACCACTCCCTCCTGGAAATTACGGAACCATCTACATGTGAAACTAAGTCATCTTCATTTTCCTCATAATGTTCATCGCTGACAAACTTCATTCCCATTTTTAGATCTTCGTAATAATCCATTGGTCTTTCAAACCTATTGAGATTTTCTACATTGTTCCACTGAGTTTTTTCAGGCTCTTCTAAATAGTCTTTTCGTATAAGATTGTTCACTGGAATTTTGTTTTCTTTTTTTACACTGTCTGGGTAAGAATCAAGCTCATCTTGTTGAAGAACATCTATTTGTGATTCTTTTTGCATATCTGATGGTGGAATGTAGTTCTTGGCAAAATAGTCTCCACGAAACGTCCGTCTTCTCCTATAGCAGAATATTCCAGCCAAAACACTCACAAGTACTATGAAAAGAGCCCCCCCAACTACACTAGCAATGACTGTGCCAATTGTGTCATCCTTAATTGTTGCCAAAGTTGACAATGGGAAAGGCAATTTTTTAGGTTCTGTTGCTAGATCCTCGGTGACAGCAGTTGAGGGATGCCAATGAATTGTAGGCTGAAGGGTGGTAGTAGTAGGAGGATCTAATGGAAACAGTAAAGATAGACAAGACACAGAAAAGCAAAGAATGTCAATGTAGGCTAATTCAGCAGCAAGTTGAAAAGACAGCACAGTTAATGAATATATATTCATAGTAACAATAGTTTTTCATTCTTAATTTGATTAAGATTAGACAGTAATGGTACTTTTATATACTTTTAAAAAGCAAAACTGACACTTAGTCAGTTACTAATACAGTGAAAAGAATGGAAACCTATGGAGTGAATGAATACTAAATAACTTTATTCCAAGTTTTAAAGTGTACTGCACTCTAGGAACAAAAAGTTGCTGTTTTTGTTTTAATGTAGATTATTACTTCAGTGTCTTATACAGAGCTGGCTCAAGCATTATTGTACAAAACATTAAAATAAATTAAGTAATCAAATGTATATTTTCTTAACGAGTAGCACAAATAAATAAAATGAAAGAATAAAAAACTAAAGTTTTCTTGACGTTCATCTTTACCTGAAAGGTAAGATCTGAACTTATTTTTCAAAGAATGAAAAACTATAGAATCTTGTTAAGGTGGCACAGTATAAGCTGTTGGTTTAATAATTCTCTCAAAAATATTCTTTCTTAGATAAAGAGTACTCTAAATTTTTATAAAGGAAAAAGGAAGTAAGGACAATTACTGAGTAATTTAAAAAACATAAATCATGTGTTTAAATTGTGTTAGCCAAATAGCTATTATCAAAAGAGACTGATAAATAAAACAAAGTAAAAATATTATAATCTACAATGTAGTAAAAACCATCTAATACTCCATGATTAACATAGGTGAACACTTAGAAAATTAAGGAATTTCAGCTATACCTACAAAATTTAATATAATTGCTTCACGATATTGTCTCACAAAGAGCTAATATTTTAGAGAGAACATTCAAATAATAATTAAATATTAGATGCAAATGAACCTGTATACAGACATTAGATTACACGAGTAAATAGCCATTAATATTAAAAAGCAACTAAACATGAATAGTAAAAATTAAAGACTGGTTAATTATCAATTAAGTAGTATTTGTAGGTCATGTTACACAAAAATTCTAAAGTTTGAAGAAAAGATGAGCTTAAAAATCTTGAATATTTTCTTAGATAAAAATAAATGACCCAAATGGTAATATCCTACAATTAATTTTTTAAATGAGTGGTATTGACAGAGTTTTTAAAATGTGATTGTTAGAAAAATACTAAATCTACATGGGTAAGTTATTCTAATATTACAAGCTAAAGAAAAATACTTACTGAAACAGGTTTCATCACGGTATGCCATATGTATAGAATGTGGTAAAAATTTAGCAAGTACAGTATAAAACTTAACAAATAACAGTATAACCAATTTCCTGACTTTAAACTGATATTACAGGTAACCCTGTCAAGTACTCTGAAGTATTAGTTATCATAGTATATGTAAGAGAATCAAGGAAGAGTTATAATTTTTAAGAACATATTCACTAGCTGAACAAACAAATGTGGAACTGGAAGATTATTTCTAGGATAAAAGGAGTAAAAATTCATACAACCCAACTTTATAGAATTAAGATAATAAAGAATGAAGAAATACACTAACTTAAATCATTTGTAAGATGATTTGTGTTTTTGAAAGAGAAAGAGTAACAGGGAAGTCAAGTTTTAAGTACTGAATGCCATCTTTAGTGATTCTCAAAGAAAACTATCGAAACAAACTGACATCAGCACATTTAAGTACAGATCTACATAAATTATTTATGATATACATATATTTGTCATATTCCAATTTGGTTTTTGGTAACTTCTAATATGTTACTGGGTTTCTCAGAAGAGTGCATGAAGTATACACAAATAATTGAACATTTTTACCACATATCCTAAAAATAATAATTGACACTTTTATTTCTACTTGCAAAGTTCTTTATATGAATACTGATGGATGTCTAATGTTCATTTCATTCATTTTCAACAAAATACAGATTTCAGAAAAATCTACTAAAAATATTAAACTTTGTTTAATTTAGTTTTGTTAGTGATCCTATAAGTTTCAATCCACCATCCTTCTCCTTAATCAATGTTAAATACAGCACAGACATCCTATTAGTATCATTGCATAGAGAATATTATTAATACTTCATCATTTTGTATTTTAAACATATAAAAATGTATATAAGAATTTTATTTATTTTTAAATTTAGAATGAAAGTCATAATTCAAATGAGGCAAGACTATTTTATAATCATAAACAGGTACTTATTTATCATGATATAAAAATTCCTCCCAATATCATTCCATATTTTTCAGTCAGACAGGTTTAAAATTTTTTTATTGAATGTGTGCTAAATGAGAATATAATAGATATATAATGGATTCTAGTACATCCTGAGTTCCTCTCTTAAGTTCTTAAGTTTCTTTTTAAACTACTGTCTCCTATCAAACAGAAAAAATAGTTTAGTAAGGTCACTATAGCTATAAGGTAGATTTTTGCCTAATAAATAAATTAAAAATCCATGAAAAAATTACATGGATTACTTCTATTTCTTTAGACTTTTATGGGTTGTTTAAATAAAGAAATCCATGCATTTTAAAACTTAAGGCATGCTAAATGTTGATTCTTTAATTTTGACATTGTGTCTGGACCCTCAAATCAGTATGATCTGAAATTCAACTTTCTCAGAGGAATACAATTTTAGGCTTAGGGGAGTTTATTTGACATTTAAAATTTTGTTTTTCTATTTTTAAAGAAAAGTGAGAAAAATCAGGGAGGGAAAAAGCAAACAAGAAAAACAATGTCCAATATTCAGTATAGGATAAAGAGCCACTGCACCCCAGGATAGTGAAAATATATTAGAGTAGAATCTAGTATTTACAGTTGAAAATCGCAATCATCAATCAAGGGCCTCTTATTAAAAGTTGTATGTCTAACAGTATGGGAAAATGGATAATAAAATTTAAAACAATTTGACTCACAATTGCTAACTCTACTCTGTTCTACGTAGAACTTTGAGACTCATCATAAGATACATTTCTTTTATATTTTTAAAAATCATTTCTAAAAGTTTAAGGTGTCTACTTCAACAATACTGAGGTAAAATTTTCTAAAGTTTACAATGAAAAAATTAACTGTTTATTCTGTTTTAATTATAGCCTTTTATTCCGATTTAAAAGGTTTTATGAAATAGTTAATTTTTTTAAAGCAATATTATACCCATGATTCTTGGTAAACTCCAAGAAACTCTTAGCAAAGTAAACTAAACCTGGCATAGTATACTGTATTATGTAAACTCTTGGGTAGAAAGGGAAAGTCTAATTCTTGATCACTTGGAAGAAAATCATTTCACATACTGCTTTCTTCTTCTGAAATATCTAGCAATAATTAACTGATTTTCACATTTTCTTAAAATTTGAAATTTCATTCTTATAAAGATTTAGATGTTGATTTTAAAAAATGTGTACAGTGATCAGTCCCTTAGTTAAGGCAAATAAAATTACATAAAAGCAAATGCTGGAATTTTAATTCTTTCCTGCTTATTCTCTTCTCAAACTTATTCATTCATACATACATACATAAACAAAAGTGTACTGAATACCTATTATATTTAAAACTGCAGATTATGGAAATACAACAGTGATTAAAGTAGACAAAAATTCTTCCCTCTTAGGACTTAAGTTCTGGTGGGTGCAAAATTAGACAAGCATATGAACACAATATGCAGTATGTCACACAACAATAAGTATTTGAGAGAAAAGTAAGGCACAGCAGGACAAAAAGTGGTGAAAGAATAAGAGAAGATTTTCAATTTTACAATCATGAGAACAGAAAGACCTCACTCAAAAATGCAATACTTTATCAAAGACCTAAAAGATGTGGGGTAAATAGGTATGAAAATATTCTTGTGGAAGAGCACTCGAAGCAGTAGAAACAGAAAATGCAAAGACTGATGGGCAGAAATATATCTGTTGTGTCCAAAAGAAAAAACAGGCTAGTATGGCTGAGCTAATGAGGAAAGGGTGTATAAAAGAATGAGGTCAAAGAGGTAATTTGGTACCAGAACAAGTACAGAGCCTTGTAAGTCACTATAAAATTTTGGTTCTCAATGTAGGTAAAATGGAAAGTCCATAAAAGGTTCTGAGAAGAGGAACGACATGATTTGGCATGGTTTTAAAATGGTCACTCTGGTTGCTCATCTGATGACAGATTAAAGGATAACAGATTCAAAATGGGAGATATTAAATGACTATGTTAATACTGATGTAAGAGTTGCTGATGGCTTGGACCATCGTGGTAGCAGGGAAGTGGTAGATAACTGATAGAATTCAATGTAATGCAATGGGAAAGCCGACACGGAATTCTTTATGGACAGCATAGAGTCAGAGAAAAAGTGAAATTAACAA